TGAGGGGAGGACATGCCTAAAGATGAGGCATTGTGGTCACTTCGGCACCGCCTCCTCATACACACGGGGGCCCCGGGTGCTATGCTGGGCGTGGGGGATCCAGAGTCATGCAAGGAACACGGAGCAAAAAAACTGTCGTCACAATATGCTAAATGGGATGGCAAGAAAGAAGTACAAGGTGCAAAAAAAAAAAAAAAAAAATCCCAAGGTGAGAGCAACTAGCCCAGCCCAGGGCTATCTGAGGGGTGACAGTGGAGGGTCTTGAGGAGGGCATAGGAGCTCTCTGTTACGGACAAAATGTGTCTCCCCCAAATTTATATGTTGAAGCCCTAACCCCCAATGTGATGATATCAGGAGGCAGGGCCTTTGGGAGGTCATTAGGTTTAGATGAGGTCGCAAGGGCGGAGCTGGCATGATCGGGTAGTGCCCTTGTGAGAAGAGGAAGAGACACCAGACCTCTCTCCACTTGGGAGGACACGGGGAGAAGGTGGCCACCCTCCAGCCAGGAAGAGGCTGGGTCCACACGGTTCCCCGCTCGCTCTCAGAGAGCTTGCACGTTTATCCCACACACGCATGTAAAGCAGCAACTTCTCTGAAGGAGAGGAGTTCCATTCTTGGAGGTGCGATAGCAAGAAAAGCTCACCAAGGCCTGGAAGGTCAGGGAGGGCTTCCCTGGGGAAGTGCCCCTGGAGCTGGTAACTGAAGGTAAATTAACAGTAAAGGAACGTGCGGGGAAACACATTCCAGGCAGAGAGAACATCTAGGCACAGGCCGGGTGGAAGGAAGGCTGGCACAGCACAGAGTGGAAGGTGGGAGGGGCTCGGGGAGCAGGAGGAAAGGTGAGCAAGCGGAGCCCCAGAGAAGGGCAGGGCAGCCCACACAGAGCCCAGGCACCACGGCGAGGGACAGTGTTCACACTGGGAACAACCGGAAAAGCCACTGAAGAGATAGAACAGAAGGGTGACACGGTCAGATTTCACAAAGATCCCTGTGGCTTCGGCATGGAGGGGAGGGGCGCACATGCAGGGAGCTCAGTTAGGAAGCCACTGAGGATCCCACGGTACATGGAGGAGGCAACAAAGAGAAATGTCCAGACAGACATGGCATCTAAGAAGTCAGCTCGGCAGGACTGGGGGACAGATTAAACGTGCAAAGTGAGGAAGAGAAAGGAGTCAGCGTGGAAGAGAGAAAAGGCCACGTGGTTATAAAGCAGAAGGGAACAAGAGTGAGCCGTGACGATCTTGCGTGCTCAGCAGTTTGAGCCTTATGCTCTCAGCAGACGAGTCACCAAGACAAGAGGATGGAGTTTAATAGGAGAATGGTATAAAATTCCATGCAGGGGGCTGGTGAGGTGGTGCACACCTGTAATCCCAGCACTTTGGGAGTCTGAGGCAGGAGGATCCCTTGAGGCCAGGAGTTCAAGACCAGCCTAGGCAACATAACAAGACCCCACCTCTAGAAACAAATTTAAAAATTAGCAGGGTGTGGTAGTGGTGCACCTGTAGTCCTGGTTACTGAGGAAGCTATGGCGGGAGGATCACTTGAGCCCAGGAGTTCGAGGTTGCAGTGAGCTATAATCCAGCCACTGTACTCCAGCCTGGGTGACAGAGTAAGACTCTGTCTGAAAAAAAAAAAAAAAAAAAAAAATTCCGTGCCAGCTTTGGATCAGACAGAACTGACTGAGGTCTTCCATCTGCTCCATCTTCCATCCTACTTGCTGCGCCCAGGGCAGGTGACTTAATGCCTTTGAGCCTCGGTCTGTTCATTTGTAAAATGAGATAATCATATTAGGTTGGAGCCTATGAAATTCTAATTTTGTGGGTCAAAAAACATAGAAATTCAGCAACTTCATATGGTTCCACTTAACATATCTTTCCTGAGGGTTATTGTGCCGATCACATAAGATGATTTCGTGAGTGCACCCATTGCCCTCCTCTTCAATCCTCCCCTTGTCATTCAAGGTCACCGGGGTGTGCAGAACTCGGCTGGCTGAAGCAAGCTGAGCTCTCATTCACCTGGTCCATCCCCAAGGCAAATGTCTCTTCCTGAACTCAGGTGTGAGGCTCAGTGGCATTTCTTCCTGACCTCTGGCCAACTTTCAGAGGAAGGCATTCCAGCCATCCTCTTACTCAGCCCTTTCAGAGAACGCTGACTCAGACCCGCTCTGGAATGACACCTGCCTAGCGGGTGCTGCAGGGCCCCTGCTGGGGAAGACTGCGGAGGAGCCTGAGAGCGCCCTAGGTGTGCAGGCGAGGGCTGATGTGGCTGAGTGCCCATCCCTCACGCTCC